GCAGGGGGCAGCCATGTTCACCCAGGGTGTCTAATTGCTTGGCATTATGCATATGCATTTGAGGGAGGGGCAGCTTTCTGTTTTGTGTGTGTGTGTGTGTGTGTGTGCGCGCGCGCAAAGCACAAAGCACTCAGCACTGCACATCTAAAACTTGCTTTGGCTACAATGCACCGTAGATTTCTCCTCTCTTGAAGAGTAAGTGCCACATAGTCTTCTGCACTCAGGACTCCACTTCTGACAGGGTCTGGCTAGGTTTTTCCTCAAGCGAGCCACTACTCTTTCAGCCTCAGTTCTCCATTTGCAATGTGAGGATACTGACCTGCTGTAAGGATTACTGGGTTAAGACGTTAGCAGCACTCTAAAGCACTTTATAAATGCTGGCGTCGTTGCTCTGATTATTATTGTTATCCTTAACATCCGCAAGGACACGTCGTTTCCTGCAGCGCACATGCGATACCTCTCTCCGTATACAGCTGTGGTTGCGCAAGGGCTAACTCCCCAACATAAGACGGCGGGTCAGGCCAGCCCAGGGGTAGGCAACCTAAGGCCCGGGGGCCAGATGCGGCCCAATTGACTTCTCAATGCAGTCCGGGAATCAGCGTGTTTTTACATGAGTAGAATGTGTCCTTTTATTTAAAATGCATCTCCAGGTTATTTGTGGGGCCTGCCTGGTGTTTTTACATGAGTAAAATGCATCTCTGGGTTATTTGTGGGGCATAGGAATTAATTCATTTCCCCCCCAAAAATATAGTCCAGCCCACCACATGGTCTGAGGGACGGTGGACCGGCCCACGGCTGAAAACGGTTACTGACCCCTGGGCCAGCCTGTGGGAATCAGAGGAAAAATGAGGTACAGTGGTACTTCGGGTTAAGTACTTAATTCGTTCTGGAGGTACGTTCTTAACCTGAAACTGTTCTTAACCTGAAGCACCACTTTAGCTAATGGGGCCTCCTGCTGCTGCTGCGTCGCCGGAGCACGATTTCTGTTCTCATCCTGAAGCAAAGTTCTTAACCCGAGGTACTATTTCTGGGTTAGCAGAGTCTGTAACCTGAAGCGTATGTAACCTGAAGCGTATGTAACCTGAGGTACCACTGTACTGAGTACTGACACAAACATGTCCCCCAGATTAGGGGGGAGGAAGAAAGTGAAGGGTAAAATGAAAACCCCAAATAGTGGTCTGAGCATACTCAGTGGGCATGGAATACTGACTGACAGAGTGCCCGGAACAGAAGGACTTCACACTGCAACATTTAGTTGCAGAGCCCCACATATTGTTATTGATTTCAGTGGCAATTCGGCCTGCCTGACTTTTTTTTAAAAAAATTTAGTGCCTCTGTTCATGTTTCCTAATACCCTTGTTGTATTATATACCCCAATGTGCACAAGGCATCAGGCAGCCGGCAAAGCAGCTTATTAGAAAAGCAGACGTCCTTATTAGACAGATTTGTGCCACACAATTAATTATTTTGACTTTTGTTGTCTCTTTGTCTCCCTCCCCCGCTCCCATGCCCAGTATTAAATACAGTTTAAGTTGTTGATAACATTATCCAACTAACATTTTGAAGAAGAAGGAAAAATCATTCAGCGGGCTTGGCAGACGGAAGTGAATATCTTTTTAAGTGATAATAGACACAATTAATTTGGTGCAGTTTAAAATAAGAAAAGCGATGGTAAAACTGAATTAGTGATGTGTAATTGGAAACGGTTATAGAGCGGCGCGATTTACGGGGTAATTCAGTGACAACGGGAAGAGGAAAAAAGGAAGGCCGTGCATCACGATTAAAACAAGGTTACTGGAATTGGTAGCTGCGCTCTAATAGTATGGAGGGCTGTATTGGTGCTGGTTGTGAAGACGATGAATGGAAGGTGGAGACGCACATTTCTCTCTTCTTCTTTTTTTAAAGACACCTGTGAGGGCTGAACCAGAGAAAGATGAGTGACAACAATAGTTATATGAATTCTCTTTCTACTGCGTGTCCTTATGCAAATAAGGCTTAGAAGCCGGGTAAAACCTTAACTCTTGCTGGCAAGGCAAGCCTTTCCGTTGCCTTTATTTCATCTTTGTAGTCCCATAATAAACAGCTGCTATATGAAATGTTAATACCCTCGCAGAGCTTGATAGGGTTTAACCTCAGCACATCTGCTTTTGACACCGAAAGACATTTGAAAGACAGTGCGTGTGTGGGGAGGGAGGGGGGGGAATGTGAGGATGTTCGACGTAGAGCTAAGGAGTATTAACCCGGTTGGGTCCCCTCCCCTCCGAAGGGCTTCGCGGAATGCCGATGCCGAGACAGCCCTGTGAAAAATGAGTGGCAAGCTGTATGGGGGGCTCAAAAGGACAGCGGGTGGGCGCATTTGACACCAGTCTCCCCTCATTCTGTATCATCCACATTCTATGTGACAGCGGTGTTCCCTTTAAACAGAACGCGTGAGGCTATTGATGGCCACTAGGCATATTGGCTGGGATGCGGGTGGTGCTGTGGGTTAAACTACAGAGCCTAGGACTTGCTGATCAGAAGGTTGGCGGTTCGAATCCCCACGACGGGGTGAGCTCCCGTTGCTCGGTCCCTGCTCCTGCCCACCTAGCAGTTCAAAAGCATGTCAAAGTGCAAGTAGATAAATAGGTACCACTCCGGTGGGAAGGTAAACGGCATTTCCATGAGCTGCTTTGGTTCGCCAGAAGCGGCTCAGTCATGCTGGCCACATGACCCGGAAGCTGTACGCCGGCTCCTTCGGCCAATAAAGCGAGATGAGCGCCGCAACCCCAGAGTCGATCACGACTGGACCTAATGGTCAGGGGTCCCTTTAGCTTTAGGCATGATGGCTAGGCTCCATGTTTGGAGGCAAGAATGTTGCTGGAAACTACAGGAGGGGCTAATGCTCTTGCATGCCTTTCAATTATCCTGGGAAAATGAGGACACCCCGTTTTCTCACGCAAGAGCATGGTGCCCATTTTGGGCGCCACAATCTCACCCCGGAAAAGTGCGACTTGCTGTGGGTCACATGGCTCACGCGAGAACACAGTCCTGGAAGACATGCGTCCCGATTTTTCACCTCGACGTGTTGGAGGGTTTGCTCTTGTGCTTAGAGTTGGGCAGGGTATAAATCATTCCCACAGGCATCTGGTTGGCCACTGAGAGAACAGGATGCTGGACTAGACGGGGCCTTGGTTTTGATGCATCAGGCTTTTCATATGTTCTTTTGACTTCAGATCCCATCAGCCTCAGCCAGCAAAGGGCCAATGCTCAGAGATGATGGAAGCTGTGATCGAGCGTTTGGAAGGTACCCCATTACCTAGCCCTGTTGTCCAATTTATATTTTTTAAATTTTTGGTCAAAGTAATATCTCCAAGCTGGGTTTCTAGTTCGTGGATCCTCAGCACACCCACACAAAAAAAAGCAAAAGCTGGCTATCACCAGGCAGAGCAAACGGGCATCTCATCTGGTCAGATCTGCCTTTCAATTATGCCAGAATCCTAAGTGAGAATGTGATTCGGAACCCATCTGAGCTGCCTGCGTTTGGTAGGGCTTGGGCCAACACCGGAATGGAAACTCTTTGAGATTGATGCTGCTGAGACTAGAGCTTTATCAAAAGAGAACAATTCCTGGGGATATTATGGCAGGCAGAGAGAGACGGTACTTGCTTTGCCTGCTTTTGACAGTCTGTCACATTGGATGGAGGTGGTTTCACATCCTGCATTTTGACAGTCCATAAAGGCTAATTAAACAAATCTCCCAGGTCCAAATGCTACCTCCTTCGGAAGACTAATTCCCCTTGCCCAAATAGTTAATATCAGATATCGTGGGCATGTGGCTAGCTAATGTGATATAACACATATTGCTGGAACTTACTTAACACAGATATTACCAATTAACACATGATATCAGCAATCAGTGTTCCTGCCATTTATAGAACACTCCTCATTCTACTTCTTGTAGCTTCGAGCCCTGTAACAATCTGAAGTCATTTATAAAGGAAGGTTTTGTGCGTCAGATGGAAAATTAAGAAGCTGGGTTAGGCAGAGGAGGGAGAGGATTATAAATAACTCAAAGGGACACACACAAACACACTGAGGGTGTGTGTATGTGCACAATTCAGTTCCCTTTGCTATTTAGTCCAGGGTAAAAGTACTAACTTTTTGCTATCCATCCATATGACTCTAGGCTGGCTGAGGCTGAAGGGAGTTGTAGTTGAGCGACACCCAGAGGGCACCCAGTTGGGAAAAGCTGCAGAGGAGATAGGCTGGAGATACCCATGGTATACTTGTGGATACTTCTATCAAATTACTTTGAGAGAATCACAGTTTTGGCATTATGGGTGGACCACGTTGTGTAGATCCTTAAAGCTCTCTTGAGTTATTTATTTACCTTATTAAAACGCTGCCCAGTAACAACGTTCTCTGGGCAGCCTACGCTAGCCATAAAATATGAAAATAAAATAAATTGAAACATAACAATAATCCACTAAAACAATAAAGCAACAGATTGAAATCGAATTTAAAATATTTAAGAGATCTTAAATGGAAAATGAAGAGGGCTTTGCTCCCAAACGAGGCAATAAGACTCCCTGAGGAGCCTGTTCCACAGGAAAGGTGCCTCCACCAAGAAAATCCCTCTTCCGAGTAGCCATCCTCTGATTGGTTCCACCACCCACAGAAGAAGCTCTGAAGATGATCAGGTGTTGGTTGGGTGCATTTGGGAGGCCGAAGTCCTTCAGGTAGTCATGTTCCAAGCCGTTAAGGGCTTTAACGGTCAACACCACCTCTTTGAACTGGGCCCAGAGGCAGCCCGGAAGCAGCTGACAAAGGGCTGACACACCACCCAGTCTCAGTTAACAATTCAGGACAGCTATTTTGGGCTAACTGAAGTATTTTCAAAGGCAACTGCCTGTACTACACAGGAGGAAGCAGAGGTGTGCAAGAAGTGATGGATGCTGTGATTGGCAGGCAGCATGAAACCTCTGGATTGGTCAGGCCAGGTGTAAACAACGGGGCCCTTACCTTCTGACTGAGTCTGGTTGATGGAGCAGTACCAGCTGCTTGCTGCTCCACACCTTCGCGTGGCCAAGCTCTGCAAACCAGGGGAGCTCCGTCATCAAACTGATCAAGATTACCTCCCTGGCAAGCAATAAGCAAATTTGGACAACAGCACACTGATCAATCAACTCACCTGTCGCTGAAACAGGCTCAGCCTTATTATTTGACACACGGCATGCGGTCGATTGAACACACTTCTGGAGTCTGAAGAACCCTTACCAGGGTGCGGTGAAGGATCCAGCTCTCTGTGGGGTTGCTGCAGGGATGATAAGCAGGAAGGACTAATTCCTGAGTAGGGCTTGATGTTGAATATAGATTGAGGCAACGGCACCTGATGTTTGCTTGTCCTCAGGACAGCTTGTAAGGGGTGACTATGGAGAATCTTTGAGACATGTGGGCTCTGAAAGCTGCATTACAGATGAAGAACTATTAAGAGAGTTTGCACATTCGTGTCTGTTCCGCTCCCTAATTAGGCTTAAGGTGTCATTTACTGATAAGAGTCCATACAAATGATAGAGAAACTCATATTTGTTCTAGTTTTTAAAGACGTCTAACATTAGCGGTGCAGCAGTCAAACTGCAAGTGCATTGGCAAAGATAAACAGAGTCCAATATGGTTTAAAACTGGGTGGGGGACCACTAGTTGAGATTCCTGCATTGCAGGGGGCGGGGGTTGGATTCGATGACTGTTGGGGTTGCTTCCAACTCTACAATTCTTAATTATTCAGCAACATTCACCCTTGGTTCTGTAGTGTGGACCAGAAGTCCCATCTTGCAATGGTGTGCGGTGAATTTTTTCATAGGGGAACAGTTAGGGCCAGAGGTGCCGGCTTGCGAGGGCAATGCGGGGGGTTACATTGTGTGTGTGAGCATCGTGTTGCCTCCCTAAGCCAAGCAGTAGCTTCCCGGGCTTTGGGAAGGAGGTGCCAGGAGAAAATTAAGGGGACTGGCCTAGTTCCCCATGTCCACTGACTGCACACCACTGCCACCTTGGATGTTGTAGAATGCATGGATCCTGCACAATGGAGGTGCATAGATTGTATAGATGTAGTAGCTGTATAAGCCATGCAATGGATTGAATTTGGAGCAGCAAGTTTCTGAGTAACCTCAGAAACTTGCTGGGTAGCCTTTTGTATCGCTAGGGCTTATCATTTTGTCTCCTGAGACAGGCAGTCACATGTCAGGGAGGTTCAGCACAATGCATCTTGCACCATTTATTAAACCAATTTACTCATGGTATCTTCTTCTAGTTCCAACAGCCCAATATTCCACATTTCTTGGAGAAAGTTGGCTAGGTTCTTATTTGTATCTTTGTTACCATTCCTTTTTAATTATTTGTTTTGATTTAACAATTGGTTTGTGTATTATGTTAATAATAATAATAAATTACTTATACCCCACCCATCTGGCTGCGTTTCCCCAGCCACTCTAAGGCTTTGAGGGAATTGTTTTATTGTGTATTTTAATTATGTATGGGTTTTATAATTAACCTGTATACTGCTTAGAAGCCATTTTGGCATGCAAGCAGTATATAAATGTACTAGTATTAATAATAATAATGAAGTCAATCTTGGTTCTTACTGGAATTGAGCATTCTCACATGAAAATATTGATTGGCTTCTCTCAAAAGGTTTGGTTTGCATTTTAATGCAAACCTACTTAATTTGTGGGACGTGGGTGGTGCTGTGGGTTAAACAACAGAGCCTAGGACTTGCTGATCAGAAGGTCGGCGGTTCGAATCCCCACGATGGGGTGAGCTCCCGTTGCTCGGTCCCTGCTCCTGCCAGCCTAGCAGTTTGAAAGCACATCAAAGTGCAAGTAGATAAATAGGTACCGCTCCGGCGGGAAGGTAAACGGCGTTTCCGTGCGCTGCTCTGGTTCGCCAGAAGCGGCTTAGTCATGCTGGCCACACGACCCGGAAGCTCCCTCGGCCAATGAAGCGAGATGAGCGCCGCAACCCCAGAGTCCCCACGACTGGACCTAATGGCCAGGGGTCCCTTTACGTAATTTGTATTTCTGAAACAATATGTTAATCAAAATGTACCTATCCTTCACATCTTGCACTTCTCAAAATTTTAGCAATGTGATTATCCAACTGACTAATTTGGGGGGGGGAATGTGCATATTGGGTTTGCACTAAAAAGCCTATATTTGTAAAAATGGCATACAAAAAAAAGGTGTCATATTAGGGGAAACTGCTGCTAAAAATGTGTCTATTAGGAGAAATCTGCGCTATGATCCTGATGGGTTTTCACAAGGACTCTTGAAAATTATAATTGCAAAGTCGTGCTGAAATATGGAGAAATACTGGGAGAACTGCACTTAAAGGCTGGTAAAAGGAGAAACTGAGAGAAACTGAAATTGACAAGTCCACCCATCCTTATCTCTCCATGGCCAGTGATGGCTGCTCCTCCATTTGTGGGGATATGAATTCATCTCCCAGAGCTCCTGTGGTCACCCTCAAGTCAGCTCACATGATTTTTCTGTTACAATTTGACTCCAGCTGATAAATTCCCCTTATTTGATCCTGAACGTGGCCAGTTCTTTTTCCACGCTTGACAGACAAGAGGTTGAATAAAAGCATGTTGTGCCCTTTTGTTTGGCTTCCTCGTGAATTTCTCCCCAAGATTACACACACACACACACACACACACACACATATATGTAATCTTGGGGAGAAATTCACGATTTTATATATATATATATATATATATATATATATATATATATAACTTGCCACTGAAGAGTGAGGGGTGTTATTATTGATGGCTGGAAGAATGAAGGGAAGGAAGGAAGGAGAGGGTAAAGGAGGAGGAGGAGAGCACATAGCCAGAGTCCAGCATTTTGCTTAGGAGAGAAAAAGATCCATTATCTTTTTTCTTTTCCCACCTGTGCTGTGACAGATGGACGAAGGGGGCCCTGGGAAAGTGTTAATTGCTCTTTTTTATGCTCATGGTTCGGAGGTTCAGGATACCCTCTAATTAAAGAATCTGTGAGAGAACCGGTCGTCTGGCCTGTGCCATTTCAATAACATGAAGAAAGGGCAGTGGTTGTCCAATTACTTGACAGCTTGAAGATGCATACAGGCTAAAAGGCGGCGGAGTGAGGGGGGAGAGCGTTGTTGTCATGCTGTAATGCAAGCTATCTATTTAAAAATGTCTATCAAAATGAAGATGTGCTGGCTGTGCATTTCCCCAGAAACTGATATTATTTATTACATTTATATCCCGGTGACCTCAAGGCGCCAGACTTAGGGAGGAATTCAATGGCGTGTTATGTCAATCGTAATGTTGGGGCAAGCGGTTTGGCCTGCCAGGTGGAATGATTGCACCCTCTCCTCCCCCCATATGCTGGTCTGGGGGTTCTCCTGACCCACCCCCACCCCCGAGTCAATTCCAGGAGCATGGAGCATGTGGGGATATGAGAGAGAGGGGAAAGCCCCCTTGCCTGAACAGAAGTCCTACCATGGGCTTCCACTGATGGGATTGTTTGTTTTTTATTTATTGCCATATTTCAAGAAGTAAAAATCCGGGTGATCAGTGGCTCAACAAAAGTTGTAAAATCGTGAGCAGGGCCACCACTGTCCGGATCAGTGTTTATGGGGAGAGGTGGTCCAGTGTGGTGTAGTGGTTAAGAGCGGCAGTCTCGTAATCTGGGGAACCGGGTTCGCGTCTCCGCTCCTCCACATGCGGCTGCTGGGTGACCTTGGGCCAGTCACGCTTCTCTGAAGTCTCTCAGCCCCACTCACCTCACAGAGTGTTTGTTGTGGGGGAGGAAGGGAAAGGAGAATGTTAGCTGCTTTGAGACTCCTTCGGGTAGTGATAAAGAGGGATATCAAATCCAAACTCTTCTTCTTGAGCTATTGCAGTCTTGAGCCATATATGTCAAAACCAGCACTAAGAATTGGGCCAGAAAACTCATGGGCTGTCAGTGCAGTTGGGCTAGGATCAGTGTAATGTGCTCAAACCTGGCCACCAAATTCTGCACTAGCTGAAGTTTCCAAATCGCCTTCAGTCCTCCTGACCACAGTTTCCCCCCTAAGGCCTGAGGTCACTCAATAAGCTTGATGGCAGATTTGAACCTGAGCACTTCCTGTTTCCAACCTGCCACTCAAACCTGCAATGAGACAGAATTCAACTCCATATCATTTCAGCTTTCATTTGTCGAACCAAGTTTCTGGTACGTAAGGTTGTGACAACAGGCTTGAAAATCAGCGATGGTAAGTCTATCCATTGCTTGCACTTTTATTGGCCAGCAAGCCATCAATTTGAATGAATAAAGTAGGCTGTTTTCTTATCCTCCCAAGACCTACATTTATAGTATCCGCCTGCCGGGGTAATTATTGCTAAATAATTTAATACTGTAAAAACTGACATATCCATTTAGGTGCATTCCTGTTATATTGTTTAACTGTATTGGGGTGCTGACCTCTATTATACAGCAAATAATCCTGCTAAAGACCGGTCATTTCCCTCTCTCCCACTATCCCTCTAGTTGGATTTTATTCATAAAGAGTTTGCTCCACTCCCATAGGCTGGTGATTAGGACGTGGACTGGTTGGCGGCGAAGAAGTTCGGTACAATCATAATCACATTTGATTACCAGTTCCGAACGAGCCGGCGATCACAGTTGTAAATGAAAACGTTCTCTCTGTTTAATAGCTCTGGGAATTGTGTGTGATCATGCTGTGTGACCAACTAAAATAAAATAATAATAATAAAAAAATGAATTAGAGATTATTTGCTAATGCCAAGGCACATTAAATATTTTTTGACAACAATGAAGATGCTTTCTAAATTGTAATTAGACTGGAAATTATTGCAGAAAGTCAGCTTCACTGTAATCCTTTAAAATCAGAGGAGTTGTAATTGGCCTTAGAGATTCAATGCTGCTTTGTGTTTCATTTTCCAGAAGTTCTGGTTCTGCATATGTAATAGCTGGATCCTTTGTGGCTAGGATAGAAAAGCCCATCAGGGATGGGGGAGGGAGGGGAAGTGCAAAGCAAGTAAAATGATTGGATTATTCCCCACACTTTCAATGCATATTAATGGACAGAGTGCTGCTCCAAACTGCGGTAGAGATTGCAGGTGTCTGAAGTAGGGTAGTTGTTAATCTGGACCCTGTAATCCTGTATACAGATAAACCATGTGCAAACTATGCCTTGTGTTAGTGGATCAGATATGGGCTATTGGCCCATTTCCTGAGGGGACTTATATTCAATTCATGGTGATTTTGGGAAGGGGTCGGTATAGATCAG